CATGCAACTCCGGAACAATCAGGAATCGCATGCTAAAAATAGGTCAGCCTTGCGCGCGGAGCTAAAAATAGATTTTCAAAAAACTTTCATGGTTACAGAGATGGTTACATGGTTACATGTATGGGAGATGTGCTCTCTCAGACTCCATATTCTCTTGTTAAATACTCAATCATGATTGGCTAATTTGTATGAAAATTTGTCTGGGTAGCCTTGGTTGGTATAGTCGCAATGTAATCAAAGTACATTCAGCACTTTTTTCATCCTCGGGATTAATTGACAGGAAAAAAGATGTTGCGTAAAGAGAGTTTGCAACTTTGACGAAGCCTCCTATGCAGATCTTCTTGGGGTATGTCACACAACGATTCCCTCCTCTGCACGTGGCGAGGAAAGACAATAGAGCAGYTTTCGCGGACTGTGAAAAGCTCAGTGCCGTAAGCGTGACGTGCCGTGACCGTGATGTTTTCTAGAATTTTGATTGGCTGATTTTTTTTCACGCGCAATGTGATTGGTCTGGCATTGCCGTGACCTTGGCGTGTCCGTGTCCGCGCCGTGTTTATGCCGTGTTCCGGGTATTTGATTGGATGGAAAGTAAATTCTCGTGCTATGTGATTGGTCTGGCGTATCCCTTGCCGTATCATGGTCGTGTTCGTGCCGTGAATTTTTCACAGTAATACGAAAACTGCACTAAGAAAGGACCTGCGTGGGAGGCTCTGCGTACCCCCTGAGAAATTATGATGATGATATCAAACCTTATTACCGTCCAAGTCTAACAATTAAATTATCTGTTTAAAGACTTCAATTTGTATAGGAAATCGCACGATCTCGAGTAMAATTTGGAAATTAATAGACACGAGTAATGTTTTGAAAGTTCTTGTAATTGCACGAGCCTTTAGGCGAGTACAATTAAAGAACTTTCAAAACATTACGAGTGTCTATTAATTCCAAATTGTACGAGAAGATCGTGCGATTTTTTGTTTATAGTTCACTCAACAAAATTTCAGTAAAAAATGCGAAGCGAGGCCSTTCATCTTTGTCTATTTGGCGGCCGATTTCCAGTCCATCGTGCAACTGAAATGCATAAAAAAGATTAGTTCTTACGGCTTTAAAATTTTATTTATGCTTTTTAAGTACAAAATGATAGAAAATAATTGTTTTGACATTGTTTTGGCCGTATTGCCATAGNCTAAATCCCCCCCAGCACCACCGGTTCCGCCGTCCCTGCAACCACGTGCACATTAGCCAAAAAACAATTTTTGACGCTGAACTTACTACATGATTGGGACGAATTTAGTTGATCACTCCTAATCGTTCGTACACACACGCATAAAGTAGAATATATGCTYTTAAAGAGGAAAATGTGAAATTTTGAGCATTTTAATTTATTGTTTAAATACCAAGAGAATATGAAGTAATAAGAGAGCACATCCCTGTGACTCATAAAAGTTTTTTGAAAATCTATTTTTAGCTCCGCGCGCAAGCCTGAACTATCTTAGCATGCAATTCCTGATTGGTCAGATTGTAGTGACGTCATGGGTACAAGAGTTCGGCAGTGACAAGCAAGCTTCATGCAGTTGACAAACCAAACTTTATTCAATTTTTACGAGAAAATGTTATGATTGCAGTCATGGATGAGACTGTAAGTTATCCCACAATTCTCCACCTAAACTGAAATACAGTAAATATTGCTGTATCCCATGAACACGTACTTCTGACCTGAACTTCAATGTTTTCAAAATGACAAGTTGTCTAATGGACATCTAAAATGATGGTAGATTATTGGACTCGTTTACGAAAGAGCCGGATTTTCGATGAACAAACTTGTTGACTTTACTGAGTCAAAAGTTTAAAAAACTTTAAGCTCGAGAGAAAATTTAGCATTTACTGTTGGAACCAGTTGTTTWCCAGTAAAARGAAGAGGTTTTAAGATAGCTGAAAACAGTCAAGCTGCTCAGAATAGAAGAATTAAACATAAAGGCACAAATACGCCGAACAGAGAGCATCTGGCGGAAAAAATCGCAA